ATACAAGGCTACACTTTGGCCAAATATTGAAATTTCTGAGCTTCTATTGAGAGAACAACTTCTTGTAGCGTTTTTTGAATTTATATAGGGAGGATACCTTATTCTGGTCTTCTGTGTGGAGAAGACTTTCTTACGCCCTTCTTTATAGAGCTTCCTCCGAAATCTTGGTCAAGTCTTCTATGTAATAAAGAAATTCATAAGATCTTCGTAATATAAAAGACCTTCCGATCATTTTCTCCTTAGGAAGAAGACATTCTTAACTTATTTAGAGATATAAATCTTCTCAATCTTCAGACCTTCTTCAGAGTCTTAAAAACGAACTTCTTCAAATCTTCTACGGACATAAAATCTTCTTAGAGGCTCCAGAAGATACTTCTCAGCTCTCTTTTAAACAAAAGACCTTCCACAGACCTTCTATAAGTTTTAGCACTTCTAAATGTCTTTTGTGGACAGAAGTCCTGACTTTTAGAATACATTCTGTGGACAGGAGACTATCTTCATAATTTGCATTGGGAGGATACCTTCTTCAGATCTACTGTGTATAGAAGAACTTCTTACTGTCTTCTTTATATAGAACACATTGTGGAGGTATTGCCTTTAGGAAGAAGACCTTCTTCGACTCTTCTAAATATAAATATTCAGACTTCTACATGTGGTCTTCTATAGACAGTATACCTTGTTCAAAGACCTTCCATGTCTACGATATATAGACCTATAGATATTACACATTATTTAGGTCTTCAAATTAAGTTTCTCAGGTCTTACACAGACAGGAGAACTTTTAGAGATGTTCAATAAATTGTAGCCTCAAAGATCTACGAAGAGGCTATGAAAATTGTTGAAAAATTCCACTCCTTAAAGTCTACCAATATTCTATAAAATTTTTTTAAAAAATCCGCACCTTAGGGCCTACCAAGATACAATAGAAATTGTTTAAAAAATCCGCGCCTTAGGGCCTACCAAGATGCTATAAAAATTGTTTAAAAATCCGCGCCTTAGGACCTACCAAGATGCTATAAAAATTGTATAAAAAATCCGCGTCTTAGGGCCAATCAAGAGTCTATAAAATGTATTTAAAAAATCCATGCCTTAGGACCTAAGAAGAGGCTATAAAAATTGTTAAAAAAATCTACACCTTAAGACCTACGAAGAGGCTAAACATTTTTAAAAAAATCCACGCCTTATGACCTACCAAAAGGCTATAACAATTGTTAAAAAAAGAAAAAATCGAATACGTGAAAAAAGATTTTCTTTTTCTGATATTCGATTCGATAGATGGACCTTCTATAGATATTACACATACATCAGATCTTCTGAAGATAATCCTGAAGTTATTACAAGTCATCTATAAACAGAGGACCTTCTACAGAACTTCTTCTTCACCTTATCCATTTATCAGGACGTGAGAAGGTCTTCCTCAGGTATTCTCTAAAGAGAACACTTGTAAACATAAGGTCATCTACAGGTTTTCTTTGACGTATTCATTCATCAGGACTTCAGGAGATCTTTCTCAGGTATTCTCTAAATAAACAGAAGGGTTTCTATAAAAAAGGGCCTTCTACAGGGCTTCTGTAAATAGAGGACCCTTTACAGACTTTCTTCTTCACCGTATCCATTCATCAGGACTTCAGAAGATATTCTTAAGGTATTCTCTAAATAAAATATATGTAAACTGAAAACATTCTACATGTCTATCAACAGAGGACCTTCTAAAGGACTTCTATAAACCGAAGACCTTCTACAGATCTTTTTCTTAATCTTATCCATGTATCAGAAATTTAGAAGATCATCCTCAGGTATTCTCTAAATAAAATATCTGAAAACAGGAAATCTTCCTCAGGTCTTCTTCTATATAAAGGTCTTCTATAAATAAAAAAACCTTCTACGCGTTTTAAAAATTCTACAGGTCTTTAATAAACATTAGACCTTCAGGACTTGATTTATAAATAAGTCTTCTGTAAATAGAAGACCTGTTATATGCCTTCTAAAAACAGGCCTTCTACAGGTCTTTAGTAAACATTAGACCTTCAGGTCTTATTTTATATATGGGTCATCTCTTTATATATGGGTCCTCATGTGTTTTTTTTTAAATACAACTCTTTTAAAGACTAAAGGCCCAGTCTAGAAGATCTTCCTCAGGGGTTCAAACACACAGCAAACCTTCTGGAGGTCTTCTATAAAGAACAGAATACTTCAAGGCGGGACATCTGGTATAAATTACTTCTAGAGAAGCTCTTGATACATTTCTACTTATAGCTGTTCGAGAAAAGAAGTAAAATAACAGAAGTCCAGACCTTAGATTTTAAGAGGGTTTTCTCTTTTATATATCGCCTTTGCGACAAAATACCTCTGGAGAATTTCTCAAAATCTTCCGCCTATAAATGTTCTAGAAAAGTACTTCAATAAAATCTCTTACTAATTTCTACAGCTCATTACAGGCAGAAAGATCTATTCAGGCTCTCTAAAGAAATAGGTATTTTATACAAAAATATGTATCTTCAAACTTACCCTCGGCAATTTGCATCTCTTCAAAAATGTCGTCGGACCTTCTCTACCCGAATTCCTAGGGAAATGTTCCTTAATATCAATCGTATCATCGGATAAATAATAACAAATTTCCAATTTGCGGACATCACCAAATTCTGAACGATCATCCCAATAACCTTGGAATTTCAGAACCATGCGATCATATTCCAAGAACTGGGCAAATGAGTGTTTCTTCGGTACGGGATTGGTGACCTTTATGGCAGATCTTTTGCGTATCTCCGTGGTGGGATCACTAAAAAATGGAGAAAAATTAATTATTTGAAAGTAGTATATGTAGAAAACTTACACCGGTTCATCAACGGGATCGGGCACCGGTATACCCGATTTATTCAAAAAATGCCTTGTAAATTTATCACAACTTGTTATGTGATATACCCTATCGAATATCTGCACTGTAGTATTAACATTCAAATCTAATATCGATATAAATTCCGTTTGACAGGGTGGTGGCTTGGGTATGCGCTGACGATGTACCATACAACCTTGTGGTATACCGGAATTGAGCACCTTCGGTTCAACAATTTGCATTGTACCATCTTCTAGATAATAGAATATTTTAACTTTCCGCACTTGATAGGGTGCATGATAGACCTCCTGAAGGGTCTCTTTAAAATAGGCATTGAAACAGAGGACCTGTTTATCATATGCCAACCAGGGTGGTAATTTGGGACCAACTTTTGGTGGATAAACGGAGGGTATTTGTGCCGGGGGGCAATTGGGGTCAACTATCATGCCACTGGGGTCTACCAAGCCAGGGGGTTTGCGATCATTTAGCATACTAATGCCCTTGTAGTTCATCAACGATTGCGGTTTGGGATATTTTGTTTTGGTGATCTAAAAGGGATTTGCAAAAAGGTAACGATTTGAATTTAAGAAAATAAAATGTATCCATAACTTACATCCCGAAAAGTGGTCCCTGGAAGCAGCGGCATTCCTGGTATGCGTATCATTTTGCTGTAAGATTTTTAGGATTTTGTCGAGTTTGAAGAAATTAAGTTTTATAAAATATATCTGTTTCCTCAGGGCAAATATTTTGAAATATGTCATAGAAAACAATTCTATAGGGAAAAGTATTGCCAAGAGTTTGTTTGTTGGCGGGTTGCTAAGTTGCCCTTAAACATTCCGCTGAATACCGTTGAAGGTAGATTAATGTTTTTTAAAACAACTGGAATTGTTGTCAGGGTAATGTGTAAGGAAATAAACAACGAATTATTGAAGAATATCGGAACATTTAAAACAAATAGTGGTACTCAGCAGAATTTTATATATTTTAACTTTTGCAATATGTTTCAATAAATATCATAAAGTTTATATTCAGCTAGCTGAATAGAATAATTGACTCAATATTTCATTAATTTTTGGATTTTTATAAGTTTGTGTATAAAAAGAACTTATTCAGCTAGCTAAATATATTTTTTATGGATAATTTTATAGTTTTAAATGTATCATTACAAAGAAAAGTGTTATTCAGCTAGCTGAATTACTAAATACTACTTCCATGTTATAACATAGTGTCTCAAATATTGTATTCAGCTAGCTGAATGGTATATTTGAATTAATATTTCATTATTTATTGCATGTTTATAAGTTTGTGTATATAACGGACTTTTTCAGCTAGCTGAATTACTAAATACTACTTCAATTGCATCACATAGTGCCTCAAATTGTATATTCAGCTAGATGAATAGAATAATTGACTCAAAATTTCATTAATTTTTGGATTTTTATAAGTTTGTATATATGAAGGACTTATTCAGCTAGCTGAATATAATTTTTTATGGATATTTTTCCATTTTTAAATGTATAATTGCAAAGAAAATTGTTATTCAGCTAGCTGAATTAATAAATACTACTTCAATGATAACCCATAGTGTCTTAAATTTTATATTCAGCTGAATAGAATAATTGACTCAACATTTCATTATTTATTGGATTTTTATAAGTTTGCATATATAAAGAACATATTCAGCTACCTATAATGTTATTATATTCAGCTCATTATCTATATATTCAGCTCATCATCTATATACAAAAAGTCTTATTCAGCTAGCTGAATACAATTTATAAATGTCATTTTTCCATTTTTATATGTATAATTACAAAGAAATTTGTTATTCAGCTAGCTGAATTGCATTTGAAGCATACATGTTGAGCAGGTTTTTATTAAATATTACATATAATGTCATGAAGCTCATATTTAGCGAGCTGAATAGAATATTTGAGTCTCACTTATTCAGCTAGCTGAAGTTCACTTTGGAGCCTTTTTAATGCATATAATTATACTTACTTTAAAATGTAGGTTATAATTTCACAATTTTATACCAAATGCCACTATTAGCTTGTTGAATTCGATTAGTATATAAATATTTCCACTTTTCAGCTAACTGAATTTAACTTTGATGCAATGTTTTTACAAATATTTGTAAGCAATTGTATCAGCAGATTATAATTTCACTATTCAGCTTGCTGAATTACATTTTGGAGAGATATTTTTACAAATATTTATACTTATTTTAATTTCTAGATTATAATTTTGCTATTCAGCTGACTAAAATTGTAATTGTATACCCAATACTACTTATTCAGCAAGCTGAATTAGAATTATAAAGTTTTTTAAATTACCAAAAGTAAATATTTCCACTTTTCAGCTAGCTGAATTTAGTTTTTGAGCAATAGTTTTATAAATATTTGTATGCAATTTTATCAGTTGATTATAATTACACTATTCAGCTAGCTGAATTACACTTTGGAGCCATATTTTTACAAATATTTATACTTATTTTAATGTGCAGACTACAATTTCACAATTCAGCTGATAATTTATACCCTATATTCCTAATTCAGCTAGCTGAATTCAATTTTTAGAGTTTTACAAAGGAAGATTATACTACTGAGCTAGCTGAATTTAAGTTTGGAGCAATATTTGTACAAATATTTATACATATTTTAATTTGCAGATTATAATTTCACTATTCAGCTAGCTGAATTATTAGTTTATACAAAATTCTACATATTCAGCTAGCTGAATTATTAGTTTATACAAATTTTACTTATGCAGCTAGCTTATTTATTTATTTTTTGTTAATACAAAATTCTACTTATTCAGCTAGCTGAATTATTAGTTAATACCAAATATTACGTATTCAGCTAGCTGATTTTTTAGTTTATACCAAATACCACATATTCAGCAAGCTGAATTCGAATTAAAAATTAAATAAAACCGCCAAAAATTTATATTTCGAATATTTTGTTTTCATTTATTTCAAATCAGATTTACAAAATTTTTACAATTTCGAGTTAACATGTATGGCCAAGACACCGTCCTCCTCAGACTTGCGAATAGTAATAGTGGCACGACCATCAGAACCAACCACAACCGATTTACCAGTACAACTGGAACCAGATTTCAAACCCGAAATGATATCACAGTAAGTACCAGCTGGCAAGCATGTTTGCAATGTGGTATTCATATCATACGAATCACCATTCAGGGCAATGAAAGCCTTATTACCGCGGCAGAATGCGATCTGATTGCTACCATTATCATACCAATTTTGAACGGCTGTATTACCGGCAACATTACGGAATCCAACCATGTTGTAAATTTGACGCCAACGATGTTCACAAACCCAACCGCCACTGCACGAGTTATCAGCATTGAATGTCGGAGAACGAATGGTATTACCATCGGTGGTGGGTGGTCCCTGATCGGTATTGTCGAAGGCGAAGGAGGACATAACACGTGTAATACCGAAGGGATGTGCCAACATAAAGGCATTAGCCATTTTATATTGTTTCGAGGTTTTATAGTTGAGGATATCAGCACCGCCAGCACCATGACCACGTTGATTATCGTGATTATCGACGAAGACCAAAGAACGATCGGAGGGCATGAAACCCCATGCGGTACCCCAGTTGACCAACCAACGCATTTGATCTTTACCACGGAATACCTTACCAATGGAATCGGAATGTCTGAATTCGGTGACGGCACCCAAATCGGTGTATTCATATTTGGAGATGGCCTCGCCGCCCATATCGATAACTTCTTGAACGATGAAGGGGCGGGTGTTGGCTGCGAAACCATGGGCTGTGTTCAAGTTGTTCAGGCGGGAGTAGATAACCTATAGGGGAAAAATAAATGGGAGGGATTAAAAATTGAGTTTGTTTTCAAAAGTTTAATATAGGTCATGTTTTAATATAGCGCCCATATAAAGACCCGTCCAAATTTCAATTTTTAAGGATCCTTTGGCTATTTGAAAACTGATGTGACTATAATTGGGTCTTACGTTCTCTATGTGTTTGAAAAACTAATTCGCAGATGATGTTTGCTAAAGGTCCATATAATGGCGCGCCCCATTTTAAATATTATTATCGTCTTAGACGTAGTTCCATGTTTTGGCGTAGTTCTCTTGTGCAGGTCCCGCCCAATTTTTTGTATTTTGCAGTTTTTTTCAGTATTTTCCCACAGAAGTGACTGTAATTTGGCATTCAGGGTTCTTGGAAGGTGAATAGGATATTTCCACAAAATTTTCGATATAGGTCCATAGGTTCCCGCCTAATTTTGTCTATTTTAAAGTGGTACGCCGAATTTTCTCATAGAAGTGGCTATAATTTTGGGATTCCAGGTTCTTGCGAGATGAGAAAATATCCTTGCATAAAATTTTCAAAAAAGGTCCATGTTACGATATAGCCACCATATAAAGGTTCCGCCCAATTTTAGATATTTTGAAGGTTTTATTTGCATTTTTCCACCGAAGTGGCTGTAATTTGGTATTTTGGGTTCTATTGAAGTAGCAAATCTTTCTACCAAAAATTATGAATGTTGGTCCATTTTTAGAGTAGCCTCGATATAACGGTACCCTCAATATTCGGTATTTTGGAGATTTTGGGCAAGTTTCTCAATCGAATTAGCTTTAATTTTATATTCTGGGTTCTCAATAGGTGTAAAACCTACATACCAAATATTATTAATATTGGACCACGTTTTGTTATAGCCCCCATGTAACGCCATCCACAATTTTCGATATTTTGGTCATTTTACGCACGCTTTTCAACCAATTTTCTTGTAATTTAGTATTTTGGGTTCTCATTGGGTAGGAAATCTATCTACTAAAAATCATTAATATTGGTCCACTTTTTATGGTAGCTTGGACACAATTTTCAAACAAATTGGCTGTAATTTGGTATTTTGGTTTCTCATAGAGTAGAATATCTCCGTACCCAAAATTATCAATATTGGTGTACTTTTGAGGTTAGCCTCCATATAACTGCACCCCTGAAATTTCGATATTTTAGGGAGCTTGGACACGTTTTTCAAACAAATTGGCTGCAATCGGGAAATTTGGGTTCTCTTTAGGTACCGAATGTTCCTACCAAAAATCATTAACATTGGTCCACTTTTTAGGGGAGCCACCATACAACGGTACCCTCATTATTCGGTATATTAGGGAGCTTGGACACGTTTTTCAACCTAATTGGCTGTAATCGGGTAATTTGGGTTCTCTTTAGGTACCAAATCTTCCTACCAAAAATCATTAACATTGGTCCACTTTTTAGGGTAGCCACCATACAACGGTACACTCATTATTCGGTATTTTAGGGAGCTTGAACACGTTTTTCAACCTAATTGGCTGTAATTTGATATTTTGGGTCCCCATTGGGTAGACAGCCTCCGTACCGAAAATCATTACCATTGATTCACTTTTTAGGGTAGCCCTCATATAACGGTAGCCCGAAAAAGTCAATGTTTTGGGGAGCTTGGACACGATTTTCAATCGAATAAGCTGTAATTTGATATTTTGGGTTCTCGTAGAGTATGCAACCTCTCTGCCCAAAATCATCAATATTGGTCCATGTTTCAGGATAACCCCCATACAACGATACCCCCAATTATTCGATATTTTGGGAATTTTGGGCACATTTTTCAATCGAATTGGCCTTAATGTGT